CGACTCTAAAGCGAGCTGAGGGACGTAAGGAGTGGAAACGAGCGTGCGCCCGCGGCCGCGTCGGCTCAAGCGGCCGGCCGCCCACATACGATTGTGCCCCACAGCGGGGCACACAATCGCTATCGAGACCAAACTGGTTCTCCTATTGCCTAAGATGGCACATCCTCTCCTACTGGGACTGTCGCTACTACGGTACAACAGAGCTGTAGCTTGGCTTCGCCTAAGGCGAAGCTGCTGGCTGGGCCTCACAGCCCCCTGCAAACTGACTCACGTGGTAACCACCACTGAGTGCTCCCAGCCGCTGATAACCCGACTGGGAGGGAGGGGGGCAGCGGCGGGCGGTCAGGGCGCCGCCGCCTTCCGCTGCGCACGACGGCGCTGGCACCCTGCTGCCGGCGCTCCTCCTGGCGCGGGCCTGCGGTCCGCCGCTGGGCCCCGGGGCGGCCGCGGGCGGCGCAGCCCGCAGAGGTGTACCACGTCGCGGGCAGCTGGAGCGACTGGGGCCTCCCCTGGCGGCGCGCGGAGGGGCGGGGCACGGTCTTGGTATCGCTCGGACGTGTGCACATCTTCTCGGCGGGGGTTCTTAAGGAGCATCCTGGATCATCCTGCGAAAATGCCGCGCACGAAACAGAGAAAAAACACAGGGAATGGACGTCCGAGCGATGGCCAGCGGTGTGGCGGCGCCTGAGAGCGTTTTTCATTTCAATCGCGGGCGATGTCGGGGTGGGGCGCCAATGACGTCGCGTTTTGCGCCAACGCCGTCTGGGAGTCTGTGGGAATAACCAAAGACAACTCAGAGGTCACCGGGGGAAGGGGGGGAGGGGGCCGGCCGGGGCCGCCGGAACAGCTGCAATCGCGAAAAATAACAAATGCTCCTCTAGGTCTCTCAGGTGGGTCCGAGCAGATGGGGTCGGTGGATCGCGCCGCATCGCCGATTCATCGGAGATGTGGCTCGATGTGGAACCAGATTTTTTCCACGCCGACGGCGCCGATGCATCGCCAGTGTCGCCGATGCATCGCCGACGCATCGGCGATGCATCGGCGATGCGATGCGGCGCGATCCCCCGACCCAATCTATTCGGACCCCATTTAAGAGGCCTCTATCTTCGGGGCGGGCCCAGCTCCGTGGGCGTTCGGGCGTTCCCCAGACCTCTGGCGTGATGAGTGAAGAATCAGAGCGGAGGTTTTGTCGCCGAGTTCGGCGGCCTCTGGGGGGGGGGCCCTCGCTGGGCCCCGGGGCCGTCAGAAAACGGCTAGGGATGGAGGGTCGGTCCCGAGGAACGAACAGGAGGAGGAGGAGGAGGAGGAGGAGGAGGAGGAGGAGGAGGAGGAGGAGGAGGGAGGAGGAGGGAGGAGGAGGAGGAGGAGGAGGCGGAGGAGGAGGAGGAGGAGGAGGAGGAGGAGGGTCGAGACCTCTGGGGGTCGACGCTGTGAAGAAGCCATGCCGTCGGGGGCCTGGGCCGAGCGCGTTCTGGGGGTGCTCGAGAGCCCGGAGGGCGCCAGCTGCACGCCTGCGCCGATCCTGGCCGGGCCCATCCTCCTCCTCCTCCTCCTCCTCCTCCTCCTCCTCCTCTCCTCCCTCCCCCCTCCTCCCTCCTCCCTCCTCCCTCCTCCCGGCCTGAAGGAGGCATGTCCGCCACTTCTGTACAGCGGTGGCGTTCGGGAAGGAATGCGCCCAGGAGGCTTCAGACCCTGGAGGATTCCGCGGTGCCGCCGTGGCCGCGGTGCTGCCCATGGCCGAGCCTCGATTGGCGTTCCATCGGCTTGCAGACCCCGGGTTCCTATCAGAGGTCTCTTGTCCAGTGCCCTCGCCGTAATCGGGGGCGGAAAAGAGGGGGGTGATGACTAGGGGGGTGGATTTCATGGCGCGGGCCATGATTTTTCCTCAGATTTCATGGCGCCTCTTCTTATTCCATTACGTCCCAGGCCCCCCCGCTGGGCCGCGCACATGCCGCCGGTCATGATTTGCACCCCCCCGTCTTGGACACCCCCCTCTTGGCCGCTCCCGACGTAAGCCCTGCGCTGGCCTGGCCAGGACCGGGTGTAACGTCGGCGCCCTCCCCGAGCGCTGCGGGGCCCTCGGGAGCAGCGGCGGTGCCCGGCGCCCGACGCCCGCCGGCCCTCGGAGATCCCAGGCCGTCTCTGCCCGAGCCCGTCGCCCTGTCTCGGGCCGGACGAAAGGGGGGGATTGGGAGAGGGGGGGGTACGAAATTTGCTGCATGCAGCTGGTTTCGGCCTCACCGAGGGGCCCATTCCTGGATACATAGCCGCCTCCGGCGCCGGGAGGCGCCGGGAAAATCAGCTACATGAGCTGATTCTCAAACCCCCCCTTTGCTATCCCCCCCTTTCGCCCGACCCGACTGTCGCCGCCGTCTCAGACGTCGTCCTCGACACCGTCGACATCGTCGACGCCGTCGATGCCGCGTTTTTTTCGTTTCTCTGTTTGGGGGGGAGGGCGGGCGCGGCTCGGACGACTGGCCAGGGTGGACCTCGGGGAGGGGCCCAGGGGATCTGGTTTTCAATGTCTTTCTTGGGCTTTGTCCAGGGGTCTGGCGTGGAGAGCGGCCGCCGTCTTCAGGAAGGGCACCCCGCCCCGTGGAGGCCCTCCTGCCTCCCGGGTGGCACGGCGCACGCCTGGAGGGGGCGCGGCTCCTGAGAGGCCCCTGGGCGCCCCCCCCCCCCGCGCTGCCCCCTCGGCGCGCCGCCAGCTTCCAGCGGATGCTGGGGGACCCTGTCGTGCCTGGCCTTTACGTGGCGGAGGTCTGCGGCGCCTCGGGGAGCTGCCACAGGTACGCCGAAGACGGGGAGGTCCAGTACGGGCACGAGTTCCAGGTCGTCTGCGGCCAGGACTGGGAGCTCGTCCTGCACCCTGGCCGCGCCCAGGCTCCACCGCCAGATGTGTCCATGGCCACCGCCTCGGCGTCGTGCCCTGGAGTCTCGAGGAGTGGTCGACGTGGATGCCTGCCCGCCCGTGTGGGCGGGCAGCCGTTCCTGTCCACCGCTCCCCGAGTCCCTGAGACACGATCCCGCGGAAGTGGATATGGACATGCTCTGGCGGCGCCCAGGCGCCGCCTGACCCGCGCGAGGGCCCCGAGGGCCCCGACGGCGCCGGGCACGGGCTCAACTGGTTCGTGGACGCGGAGGTGGGCGAGGATCAGGAGGGACAAATCCATACAAACAAGCGCTGACATCCAGGAACACACCCGAATTTATCGTGGAAGTGGAGGGGAAGAGGGGGACCCAGGAAGTATGGACAGATGTCGGGAGTCCTGGAAGGTGTGACGATGTATTTTTGTATTCCTGGGCTCCGTAAGAGGAGCTCCGCATCGAGCTCCTGGTGCGCGAGGGCGGCGGCTTCTCGCTCGGCGTGCGCCAGGACGGGGCCAAGGAGCCCGCCGCCGAGCCGGAGGTCCTCGCGGCGTACCATCTCAGGGCCCCCGAGACCAGGACATGTGTACAGGCCTCCTGGATTGGGTCGGAGTACACGGGGTCGCAGGATCGCGCCGCATCGTCGATGAATCGGCGATGCGGCTCGATGCGGAGCCCGATTTCCTTCTCGTCGACGTCGCCGATGCATCGCCGACGTCGACGATGCGTTGCCATTGCATCACCGATGCATCACCGACGCATCGACGATGCGTCGCCGATGTATCGGCGATGCGGCGTGATCCTCCGACCCCATCTACTCGGACCCCGTCTAGGAGGCCTCTAATGTGTGAACCAGGACGTTGAACATCCTTGGAGCCGTCTGGGAGTCTGAGGTGGGCCAGCACTGGTTCCGGCCGGCAGGCAGGGCCAGCAGGTCCGAGGTGCCGGGGTCGGGGATTGTTTTTTATGTTTTTTTCGGCGTCCGCGAGCCGGTTTTGGGCCCGGGGACTGAAAAACGGGTCCAGGGTGAAAAATTATACCAGATGGACCCCCGGGGACCGATTTTGAGTGGATTTGGCTTCACCCCCCTTCCCGACGAATTTTCTGGAGCCCCGACCAGTTCAGCCCCCCGGCCGCCTCCAAGAACATCCCAGCTGGAGAGAGCGAAGCCAGGCATTCAGAGAACGCCCGCCCAGACATGTCGTTCGAGAGAATCTGCACGGGGTCACCCGACCTCGGGATTACGAGTGCACTGGTGCAGCCCTCGGTCGGTTCCGCTAATCGACGTGCGTTTCGCCAGATACTCCAGATTTCGTAATAAAGGGAGGGGGGTCTCATTTCGGGGGGGGTCTCTTCCAAGCTATCTTGGAGGGCCTGGGGGGGTCTGGTGACGATGTTTTGGAGGGTTTTCCCACGGGGGGGGTCTGAAATGGCTTGTCTTGGAGGGTCCAGACCCCCTCCCTTTTATTACGAGATCTGGAGTACTCTCGGCTGCTTTTGGACGTCGATTCGTGATTCCGCCAGGGCGCACTTGGAGTGCGGCGCCGCGCGCACCCGTGGAGTGCCCCAGCAGTTCTCGCTGCATGGCGGTTTGCTCCAGGGGGGTGGTTGCAGCAGCCATTGAAAGAGGGGAACACGTTTCGGCCCACGGCTGCGGTTCTCCCGGGTGCGCCACTTTCCTGGGTTTATCAGCCCCGAGATCCGACGTCGCGGAAACGTTGAAGCCTCGTCCAGAATCACGACTGGTGCCCGAGACCCCATCCTTCAATGGCATTTTCTGTCGCAGGCCGAATCGATCGGTGATGGCTCTAGGGCCCGAAGCCTGGTGAAAACGCTCGCCGTGAAACAATCGCAGCGCCCACGCATATCTCAGCCCAGACATGCGATGGCTTGTTCTCGTCAGCACGGGGCCCCCAGAAGTCCCGACACTTTCCCCTGGGACTGGTTCCTCATCCCGAGCCGTTTTTCTGTTGACGGTCCTTGGGCCCGGTAGGGAGGGCCTCCAGAAGCCGAAGACCACCAAAACCCGTCTGGGAGGGAGAGTCCCTGTCGCAGGGGCCCGAGACCACCGCGCCCTCGCGGACTGCCGGCAGCGCGGGCTGTGGGAGGAGGCGCTCGGCCACCTGGAGCGGATGCGGCGCTGGGCGGGCGGCGCGGACGCCGAGGCCTACTCCTCGGGCGTCCGCGCCTGCCGCGCGGGGTGCCCCTGGCAGGCGGCCCTGCTGCTGCTGGACCAGATGTGGGCGACGGAGACCGAGGCTTCGGTGGAAACTCCTGGGGCCCTGGGGCCCTGGCGTTGCGCTGTTGAACTCTCACTTTTGCAGAAGAGTGATTGTTGATCCCCCCCACCGGTGCACACTGTTTTTTCTCAACCAAAGTGTGCCCCTCGACGCTCGCACCCTGTTTTTTGACGGGGAAAGTCTTCCTGCTCAAACTGGCCCCCTGGCACCCGGGTTACAACAACGACGGCTCCCGCGTGAGACTTCCTTACAATTTAGCCAGGACCCCCGCTCTCGCCCGAGACTTCCTCGCATGTTATTCAGGAATCGCGCTCTCGCTTGGGACTTCCTTAAAAGTTATTCAGGAATCCCTCTCCCGGCGCTCTGGAGTCGCGCTCTGGCTGGAGACTTGCTTGCAACTTCCTGAAACATGGCCTTGCGTTGGAAATTCTTGCAATTTGCCCAAGCGCCGCGCTCCCGACACCCAGGCACCCAGGAGTCGCGCCCGTTGTGGCCCCATGTGCATGCCCTTCGTGGCCCCGCTGTCGCCATTTGTGTCCCCCTCACTGTCCTACGTGGCCCAGTTGCTACCCTCAGTGGCCCCATAGTTGCCTTCTGTGGCCCCGCATTATCTGCACTTCGTGGCCCCCGCTCGTTCGCGCTCTTCGTGGCCCCATACGCATTCCCTTCGTGTCCCCGCTGTCGCCCTTCGTGGCCTACTTCGTGCCCTTCGTGGCCCTGCTGTCGTTCTCTCTCGCTCTCGCTTTCGCTCGTCGTCGCCGTCGTCGTCGTCGTCGCCGTCGTCGTCGTCGTCGTCGTCGTCGTCGTCGTCGTCGTCGTGGTCGGTCCCCTGTCCGTCCCTCTTGGGGTCGGGTCGACGGTCCGCGGCCGCCCCGCCGATCAGCGCTGCCGCTGGCCAGGCCGACAGTCCGCGGCCGCCCCGCCGCTTGCCGGGGCCCGGCCTGCAGGAAAGAAAGGTATACCCCCCAAAAGGGGTTCGATCGAAGACGCAGAGGGCGGGTATCGAGGGTTTGGGAAATACGCGTTATTGGACACTCGAGCATATAAGGGCGAACGGTCTTAAAATTATTGTTGTTGTTGTTGTTGTTGTTGTTGGTGTTGGTGTTGGTGTTGATGTTGGTGTTGGTGTTGGTGTTGTTGTTGGTGTTGGTGTTGGTGTTGGTGTTGTTGTTGCTGCTGTTGTTGTCGTTGTTGTTGCTGTTGCTGTTGCTGTTGCTGTTGCTGTTGCTGTTGCTGTTGCTGTTGTTGTTGTTGTTGTTGTTGTTGTTGTTGTTGTTGTTGTTGTTGTTGTTGTTGTTGTTGTTGTTGTTGTTGTTGTTGTTGTTGTTGTTGTTGAGTTCTCATTTCTGAAAAATAAGTATTGTTGATCCCCCCACCGGTGCATACTGTTTCTTCTCAATCAAAGTGTGCCCCTCGACGCTCGCACCCTGTTTTTTGTCGGGGAAAGTATTCCTGCTCAAACTGGCCCCCTGGCACCCGGGTTACAACAACAACGGCTCCCGCGTGAGACTTCCTTACAATTTAGCCAGGACCCCCGCTCTCGCCCGAGACTTCCTCGCATGTTATTCAGGAATCGCGCTCTCGCTTGGGATTTCCTTAAAAGTTATTCAGGAATCCCCCTCCCGGCGCTCTGGAGTCGCGCACTGGCTGGAGACTTGCTTGCAACTTCCTGAAAAATGGCCTTGCGTTGGAAATTCTTGCAATTTGCCCAAGCGCCGCGCTCCCGACACCCAGGCACCCAGGAGTCGCGCCCGTTGTGGCCCCATGTGCATGCCCTTCGTGGCCCCGCTGTCGCCATTTGTGTCCCCCTCACTGTCCTACGTGGCCCAGTTGCTACCCTCAGTGGCCCCATAGTTGCCTTCTGTGGCCCCGCATTATCTGCACTTCGTGGCCCCCGCTCGTTCGCGCTCTTCGTGGCCCCATACGCATTCCCTTCGTGTCCCCGCTGTCGCCCTTCGTGGCCTACTTCGTGCCCTTCGTGGCCCTGCTGTCGTTCTCTCTCGCTCTCGCTTTCGCTCGTCGTCGCCGTCGTCGTCGTCGTCGCCGTCGTCTTCGACGTCGCCGTCGTCGTCGTCGTCGTCGTCGTCGTCGTCGTGGTCGGTCCCCTGTCCGTTCCTCTTGGGGTCGGGTCGACGGTCCGCGGCCGCCCCGCCGATCAGCGCTGCCGCTGGCCAGGCCGACGGTCCGCGGCCGCCCCGCCGCTTGCCGGGGCCCGGCCTGCAGGAAAGAAAGGTATACCCCCCAAAAGGGGTTCGATCGAAGACGAAGAGGGCGGGTATCGAGGGTTTGGAAAATACGCGTTATTATTGGACACTCGAGCATATAAGGGCGAACGGTCTTTAAATTATTGCTGTTGTGGTTGTGGTTGTGGTTGTGGTTGTGGTTGTTGTTGTTGTTGTTGTTGTTGTTGTTGTTGTTGTTGTTGTTCTTGCTGTTGCTGTTGCTGTTGCTGTTGTTGTTGTTGTGGTTGGTGTGGGTGTTGTTGTTGCTGTTGCTGTTGTTGTTGTTGTTGTTGGTGTTGTTGTTGTTGGTGTTGTTGTTGTCGTTGTTGTTGTTGCTGTTGCTGTTGCTGTCGCTGTTGCTGTTGCTGTTGTGGTTGTGGTTGTGGTTGTTGTTGTTGTTGTTGTTGTTGTAGTTGTTGTTGTTGTTGTTGTTGTTGTTGTTGTTGTTGTTGTTGTTGTTGTTGTTGTTGAACATTATTACTTCTAAAGAATAATTATTGTTGGGACCCCTGGTACACGACCCCCCTCCAAAACCTAGGCCGCAGCTACATTTTCATCATTTTTTAGCGAAAGCTTCAGAAAAGTGAATTATTACCGGATCCGGTTGTTTTGTTGTACTCCGTTTTCCCTTGCAAAAAACACTATAAAATGAAAATTCTTGTTCTTACTTGATCAAATTGCAAGAATCCCTTGCAAAAAATAAGGTAAAGTGGACATTCGTGCGCGCAAGACGAAATCCTTCCAAAACCTTAGGTTTCGTAACGATTTTAACATAAAAACATCAAAAACCCAATGGTTTTTTAAGAAAAAATTGTCAAAATGTTCTTCCGCGCGCTCTTGCGGATTCGTAGGAAAACCAACACTTTTTAAACAATTCTGTCAAACGGGCTTTTGCGAGCAACTTTTTCGAACTTCTGCGACAACGGTTGCGCACCTGCCAGGGCCATCATCCCTGTCAAATAATACCATGCGGGACACATTCGTTTTTTCTTCGCGCGCGCACGCCGAAATCTCCAAAAATCATTGGGTTTTTAAGAATTTTAGCACCGCGCATCATAAAATCACACGAATCGCACCGTAGGTCCTCGAAAAACACCTGCACGACTTTTCAAAATTTCCACCCGCGCGCGCTGTCCGAATCCTAAAACAACCAATGGTTTTCCAACGTTTGTGGGTTAACAAGGCTTAACAACTTCTGTGGGTGTACGAACGTAGGCTTAACAACTTCTGTGGGTGTGTACTCCACGCCAGTGTAGTAGCCACGGTCGTCCGCAGGCCACGAAGTGAAGTGTCCGAACGTCATAGGGCGGGAAGCTGGGTGTGGGTGGTGGCGAAGAGTCGTGTGGATATTTGGTAGAGCTTGCACTGCCCCCCCACAAAGTGGGGGTATTGGCTGGCGTCGCATGAAAACCCTGGCACTGGTGAGAACACTGAGCGTTCGGGTAAAGTGATTGTTGTTGTTGTTGTTGTTGTTGTTTCTTTATTTCTTTATGTTGTCTTCTTCTCTCAGCGGGCGTTTCCGCCCGGTCCCAGGCCCGGGGCCCTCACACATGGATCCGGCTGGAAGGAGTGACGCGGCAAGATGGGGTCCAGGGCTCGGGTGATGTTCTTTTGCGATGCCGTATTTTTGTTGCGTGTGGGATCTCGGGGGAGCCTTGCCTGTCCTCGGAACCACATCTTCAGAGTGCTTGGGCGTGCGCTGGCGTCCCGTGGTCGACGAGAGAGCGCCGATTCGGCGTGGATGCAGTCCCGATTTAGTGTGAATCAGCGTCGACTGGTGTCCGCCAGCGTCGAGTAGCAAGGGCCAGCAAGGCGTCGGCGGCGGACCCAGGGGGGAAGGCAGAGGGGACCAGCCTTCTCAGAAGGTGGCGGGGCTTCTCAGAAGCCCTTTTCGCCGCCCAAGAAGTCTTGTCAGCCTTCTCCGGAGACGCAGGCGGCTTCTGAGAAGGCTCGAGGGCTTCTCAGAAGCCCCGCCGTTGTCTGATAGGGCCTGCCCCCTCTCACTGCCTCTCGTGGGCGATGGAGGGCGCCACCCGCCCGAGGAGGGAAGGGGCTGAGCGGGAAGTGAGGAGGTTCTGGGAGAATCCGGAGACCCGAAACGGGCCTGGATCCCCGAGGGGTGCAGGAGGAAGAAGAAGAGTACGAGGACGAGGACGACGACGAAGGCGACGACGGCGCCGACGACGACGACGAAGGCGACGACGACGACGACGACGACGACGACGACGACGACGACCCACGCCAGCCAGTTGACACACAACGAGGCTGCGGGGCCCACCGCGCGGGACTACGAGCACGTCGCCGCGCTCTGCGAGGGCGCGGGCGCGGAGCCCGTGGCGGCGAGGCTGCGCGGGGAGGTGGCGCAGTGGGGGCGGCGTAGCCCCGGCGAGGCTCCCCGCTTCCAGGCCCCACGGCGACGGTGAAGGCGACCTGGGTTCCAGGTGACGGTGACGGCGACGGTGACGGCGACGGTGACGGTGACGGCGACGGCGACGGTGACGGCTCCCCGCTTCCAGGCCCCACGGCGACGGTGACGGCGACGGTGACGGCGACGGTGATGGCGACGGTGACGACGGTGACTGGGTTCGGGAAGGCCTCTTTTTTTTTGGTCTCCATGGGCCGTTTTCGGGCCCTGGGACCGTCACAGATGGATCTGGGGTGAAAAGCTGCACCAGATGGACCCTGGGAGGGGTCTGGACTGTGGGCCGGCTTTGAGCGGATTTGCCTCGCTCTCGATGGCGGCGGCGCTCATCCGCGGGGGGCGGCTACGGTCAGGAACCTTGTCTTCGCGTGTTGTCGCTCCGCCGGTTCTGGCCCACCACGCCTCGGTGCGACACGCTAGGCTATCCACGCCCCAGTCCCCAAGCTTCAGCGGTCGGAGCCTCTCCCCGACTCCCGCTGCGGAGCGGAGCGACACGCTTTCCGCTGGCAAGGCATACTGCGTCGCCGGGGCCGCCGCTGCGGCACGCAATGCAACAGATCCTGACCGTAATCCCCAGACCTCTTCTCGCGTCGTGCGCAGCGATCACGGCGGAGGTTTTTTGCTAATTTTCGGCCTCCGCAGGCCCGTACAGGGACCCAGGACCGTGAAGGATGAAGAGGCGGTCCCAGGGAATGGTCCAGACCTCAGGGGGTCCATGCTGCGGAACAGTTGCAACGTCGGAGTTCTCGGGTTACGTATAGTGTCGTCGCCATCCCCTGGCAGGGGGGGCATCTTGGGCCCCGGGATGGTGTGCAGGCCACCCCGTGGAGGCCAGGAGGGGACGCGCACCAACTCAGGACAAAGGGGGGAATGCATCGACCCCCAATCGCCCATTGATCGCCGATAGGGGTCTGATATCCCACCCCGCCCAGGAGCGTGCGGATCCGCTATCGAGGGCCTGTTGCCGATCTGTCGGCGATGTATCGCCGATTCCAGGCCGATGTTTGTTTCCCTGAGCTGGTCCCTCCCCATCGTTCCCCCTCACCGCCCCGGGGCCCAGGATATAGCCCCGAGTCAGGGATGCTGGTGGTGGTGGTGGTGGTGGTGGGACCGCCCTCGGTCAGAGGTCGTGCCGCCCTTCATGTACGGCAGCCAGTTCCGCGGGCTGAGGTGCTCGGTCCGGAACCACGTCCCGTGGGGCCTCGGCGAGGCTGTGCCGGCAGCCCCCGAGCGCCCGTGCTGGTTCCTGCCCGCCTCCGACGAGCTGGCCGTGGAGATCGCCAGGCGCCAGGACGAGGCTCCCGGAGGAAGCAAAGCGCCTGGGCAGCACCGGCGCACGAGTTGAGCGAGGGGGCTCCAGGAAGGTTCCCAGAGCGAGCATCTAAAGCGCACCAGTTTCCAGGAAGCCGCGTATATTGCACCACACATGCTGCAATATATATATATATATATATGTATGTAGCACAACGTTGCTTGCACAGCAGACGTTGCACCACACAGATGTCACTACACAGATTTCACCACATACATTGCATCACACACACATATATATATGTGTATATATGTATGTGTATGTATATATATATATGTATATTGCACCGTCTAGATAATTTCATACCATATAATGCGCAGCATAAGCTGCACCGCATAGATTGCACCGCACATATTGTTTCACATAGATTGTCTTTCACATAGATTGCACCACTGGAATGCGCATCGTATATCGTGCAACATTTATTGCGCAACATCGAATGCACCACGTCGATGGCACCACATATATTGCTCCACATGGACTGCGCCGCATCTGTACATAAACACATATTTATACACCGAGCTATGATGCGAGGGCCGAGCTGTCTGGGGTCCACGCTGGCCAACATTTTTATACCGTTGTTCTGGATCTCGCTATCGATACGTATGTCTGTTTGTATAGATCTCGTTCGGTGTTACTATCTACCGATCGAATGATCTCTCGGTGCCACGAGCTATCTACCAATGCCACTATCTATATGTTGATCCCACTGGCTGCATACCGATATCGCTATGAATCGATTTGCCCATCTGTCCATCTATCGGCCTCGCACGCATCGGGACAACCATCGGGACATCCACGGGACAGCCATCGGGACATCCACGGGACAACCATCGGGACAGCCACGGGACAACCGCGGGATAATTTCGGCCTCGAACCCGCACGCCAGAGGGAGATCGATTTGCTTGACTTCTCCCTGGCAGCGGCGGGATCACTCCCGTGGCCCGCGCACGCAGCTTCGGCGCGAGCACGAGACGGGAACCTCTTGGCGGGGGGCCGGAACTTCGAGATCTCCGACCGCCAGATGCCCTCCCTGGTCGTTCTCGTCACCGGGCCCGCGCCGCCACGGCCAGAGCAGCCTCGGAGCCCTTGTCGGTCAGAGTGCGCCCTGGGAGAGGTCCAGGGAGCAGTGGCGCTTGCATCTGTTCGGGCGCTGCCAAAGGTATCCCTTGCCCAAGGTGCCCCCAAGATTCCCGAGGGGGCTCATAACATGATCCAGGGTTGCCCCCCCAATGCGTACATGATCGAGCTCACCCCCGCCAGATGGGTACGCACATGAGCCTCGCGAAGGCCTCGCGAATGGGATCGCTCCCCCCCATTGTGGTCGTGGCCGTGAGGGTGTGGCGTGGTGGAGCGTGCCTGTGCACCCCCCTCCCCCTGTGGGTGTAGGGTTCTTCGTCGTCGTCGTCGTCGGCGTCGGCGTCTTCGTCGGCGTCCTCGTCGGCGTCTTTGTCGGCGTCGGCGTCGGCGTCGGCGTGTGCGTCGGCGTTGGCGTCGGCGCCGGCGTCGGCGTCGGCGTCGGCGGCGGCGGCGGCGGCGTCGGCGTGTGCGTCGGCGTCGGCATCGGCGTCGGCGTCGGCGTCGGCGTCGGCGGCGGCGTCCGCGTCGGCGGCGGCGTCGGCGTCGG